ACAGCTGGCCTGGAACTCAATACTGGAGATCAGGCTGATCTGGATCTCACAGAGATCTGCCTGCCTCTGCCTCCCAAGTGTGGGGATTAAAGGCACGCACTACCACACCCAGCCTAGAGGCTTTCTTTAATCAGTGTAATCACTGGGGAACTAGTTAAGAAGAAAAGAATGGGCTAGCAGAGTATAATATATAAAATATATATATATGAGACAATGTCAAAAAATAAAAAAATTAAAGATAAATATTTAAAACAAATGAAATAACCATTAGCATTTTATAACATGTATAAAATTTACAACAGTTGGATGAACACTCAGTAGCAGTGCCCCTATACAATTTCACCTGTTCTAATTACTGGAAAATGGGTAATTTCTAGAGAAATGTTTTTAAGCATTTTCAATGTGACAATTTACAATCTAAATTTACATGTATCATTAATTATCTATGAAACTATTACTGTGTATACCAAATGAGCATTCAATAAAAATGATAGATGGTGTGTTTTTTGGCCTTAAGGCAGGTGGAAGAATAACATTACTGCACTTTTAAACTTTTAACAGACCATGTACCTACATTTCTTCCTGATACCTAAAGTGACTGTGCACCAGGTTACAAACAGCTCACACGCAGTTCAAAAAAAAAGAGAACCCTCTCCAAAATAGAACCTGTAACAGATTACTGCTCCAAGAGCAATCCTATCAAGAAACAGAAACAAGAATATCAAAATTAAAATTATAAGCCATAATATATGCCTCAAATTATGGCATTTTTATATCATGTAACATACCAATGGATTAGAGAACCAACATAATTCTAGATGAAAGGCAGGATGGCCCATGCCAAAAAATGAAATTAAGTTGCTTAAAAATATAAATCTTGCCAGACGTGATGGCTCATGCCTTTAATCCCAGCACTTGGGAGGCAGAGGCAGGTGGATCTCTGTGAGTCTGAGGCCAGCCTGGTCTACACAGTGAATTTCAGGGCATACACATGTGCCTTGGCATGTACACACACACACACACACACACACACACACACACACACACACACACACACAAATGACTTTTCAGACTTTTCAGAATCAAGAGTAACAGGGACAAATATACCATAATGAATTTTACAAATGGAAAGCTAGTTCCCATATGGACGCTAAAGGCTACTGTCCTAGGAAAGGTCGTCATTCTCCACAAGTAAAACAGACTGTCCTGTCAAGCTATCAGGGCAAGATAAAAAAAAGTCACAGAGGCTTTAGAAATTCTCCCCCAATTAACCTAAGCTCTCTGTTTTACCTTAACAAAAGTTACACAATGTCTAACTTCTAAATCAATCGATATGCCAAAAAAACAGATTGAACATTCATTGGCTAAAAGTCTACATCTTCAAGAACCCATGTTTTCATCTTCTCTATATTCTCTCCAAATGAAACTGTTAAAGAAAGGGGATATATAGATAAGAAGTGTACAACTTGGAATAGAAACACAGAGGAATTCAGATAGGGAAAGTAATAAGGGACAATCAGAAAGGGTGGGAAAATGCTGAACTCTGAAATGTAGGTATATTTGGTTAGACCAGGGGGCAGTCTTACCAAGTAAGAGCAAAAACATACATGAAGTCATAGCAAGGGAACAGAGAAACAGCCAGGGGGCAATCAACAGGGCTGCAAAGACAGCAACACTCAACTCTGGAAAACACAACTCATTTTGTGTTATATGTGACTAGCACCTCCCGGAGGTGTACAAAGTAGTAACCCTGGTTAGGGAGCACATTATGGTTAACATAAAAGGTTCACTAAGGTCAGAACAAGAAAGGATAAACAGTGAACCTATTTGGAGAGATTCCATCCTTATTCTCATATTAAAGAACTGAAGAAGTCCCAAAGAGAAAAATGGCATAAACCAGCACATCTTGGATTTTAGTTCTGTCCTCTTTTCCCATCAAAACCATTAATATTTCTTAGAACCAGTGTTTTAAAACATACTTTAGAAAACACTGTTACTTACTTTTCATATCAGTCCTTTAGAGTCAAGCTGTATCTTTATGACAAAAAAAAAAAAAAAGAACTGCTAAATGTTTTAGTTAAGAAATGACAGCAAGTAAGGTATTTAAAAACAGCAACAGAAAACTCTAGCACAAATATGAAAAGTAGATTACAGAAGAACAGAGGATTTTGAGGGAACAGTTTTTACAAATCCTCCTGGGTAGGGAACTCTCTAGCCTAATAAAATTAACAGATCCATGTTGCTAACAATAAAATTATTTTAAAAGCACCTTTTTAAGTGAAATTGTCAAGTTCTTTCTAAGATGTACTTTTCTGAAAATAAACTTTATTCTTAAATTTGGTCTGTACAGTAGTCATACCAGTTTGCAGTTAGAGAATATAATCTCAGATTTCACAGAGTAAGCAAGCATTGGTCGATTCAAAACTACTCTCCTTCCTCCTAGAGGCCCAGGTGACAGTAATACAAAAGCAGAATCACAGACTTTTAGAAATCACAATGTTAGAAGCTACTATATCTAAAATTATCAAATAATGTTCCTACCAAAGAAGTAACTTAAAACACTACATATTATTTAGCTGACACTGTCATGGGAAAACTAATAGAAAATGGCTTTATGAGGCTATAGGGAGAAGCATACCCACTCTCTGACAAAAATACTAATTTAGATTTCTGTAATCACAAGTAAATTATAACCCATCATTCCTAACTATTCCTTAAGGCTTAACGAGCTTAATTTTTCAAAATAAAAACAGCTTCAGTACAGTCTTGAGATGAACCCGTTTTCAAACTAATTTCATTTTAAATATATTTTAAATAGACATATGGGCTATTTATGATATTAATATACATGAAACAACTGTATTTTAAGGTTGCTGTTAAGAAAATTATTAAAGGCGGTTAGTTCACATGTAGTATATATAATAGTACATATAAATGGACCTTACAGAAGATTACCTAACTACGCAAATTATTAACATGCAAGTGAAACAGCACTTTTATTTCAGTGCACAGATGGCAAAATTTTCTTGCAAGAACATTCAACACCAACACGCTGCTTTTGAAGTAGCTGTTTGCTAAATGAAAATTTAAAGAGTGACTATTTATCTAGCAATTTATGCCTGCTTAATCTGAAGGACTTTCCCTCACAAAAAACAAAAGCTAGACTGAAGCCTTAAGTATACAGAACTATAATGACACAACACATTACTTTTAGGGGGAAAAAAAAAGTAAATGTTAAGACATGGAAATAAAAAAGAACATTCTCTAAGAGATTACCGTGCTTAATAAGTAACCACAGATAAATCTTCTGAAAGAAGACTGTGCACAGATAAGAGAAATATGTTCCAGTTCCAGCTATCAGTTTTAACAAATGGCACAAAAACTACCCGGGGTCAGGGGTGTTAACCTCTGCTATAGCAGTCAAAACTATTGAAAAGCACAAATTCTATTATTTATTATGTTCAAAATAAATCAATGATTTCCTTCTGAGTTACAAAGGCATTTTTACAACATACAGTTTCAACTTATAAATTCCACATCATTCTTTCTCAAAATGAAGACTGGTAGGCCCAACCCCAAATCTGTGCCAGCAGAATGGCAGGGCAATGCCAAGGAAGCTGCACTTTCATTAACTCACTGCCCTAGGTGATTCTCCTATGCTCTAAAACCAGAGAACCACTACATTCTTTGTGAGATCTGAATCTAAGTTGTAGATTTCATGAGCTAAAATCTCCTTATTTGGGACTTTTTAAATTTCACTGCATAACAAAGTAATGCTAAGAAAATTTTAGATAACATGCACATGGCAGAAAAGTAAATGCATATGTTACAGTAGAAATTGAAAGAAAAAACCTTTAGCATACATAGCACATTTTATTTTTAATTTAATGCAAAGACCAATAGGTCTTTGAAAACAAGATTGAGTTCTTTCTTTTTTTTTTTCCGGTCTTTTTGAGACAGGGTCTCCCTGTAGCCCCAGCTGTCCTTGAACTCACAGAGATCCGCCTGCCTCTGCCTCCCAAGTGCTGGAATTAAAGGCGTGCGCCACCATGCCCGGCGAAAACAAGATTTCTTTTAAAAATTCTATTAAAATAGAGTCTTTCAAATATGTTTGTAGTCATTCAGCTGTTACACAAATCAGGGTATGAACTGTTTATATTACACCAAACATGAGCAATAATTAAATTATAAAACGAAACCCAAATTCTCTTTTTATTACACTATTAAATTTACACTGAATCAGAAGCTGATTTCTACATACTTACATAATTTTCATAAATTTATATAAACATGTATAGTGAGACGAGCACTGAGGACAGCTTGTAGGACACCTCTAGATAATCTAGAGTCCAGGTCTAGCTAATGAGGCTGTAGCTATGTGACAATGGACCTAGAGAAATCATTTTACCTACCAGGAAAAAATAAAAAAGGTATAACTGTCTATGTAACTCATTTCGAAGGATTATTTACTACGAGGGTTAAATGACACGGTAGGTAAAAAGCATTCTGAAAAGCTGTGAATCATTCATAAATCACTATTATAAAGCATTATTATAAGAACAAAATTTAAGACACTCCTATGAGGTTATCTGCTGTAAAATAGATCAGAAAAATCAAAATACACATGCCATACAAACAATGAAAACCATGTAGATTTTTCAATTTCAATTAAATACTGGAAAGTACTGACCATCTCCTATGTTACAAATGTGAAACATTCAATTTAATTAAAAATTTGTCACCTCTACTTTCATGTATGTCCAACAATTTCTAAATAAAAAATTTTAATAAGACAATAGTATATGTGGTGTGATATACATAACATTTCTAAAAGCTAAAAAACCTGTTACTTCTTTTTGAAAATTTATTCCCTGTATATCATCTTCCTTATAATGTTACCTTTGATTCTGAAAATTCCCCAATAGGCTATTAATAGTACCCTTCTATAAAGACAGCAGAAAATAATTTTCTCTTCCAAGTGATCAAGTAAATAGCCTTACTCAAGGGGCAAACCATGAAGCTTCTCCTTCTTGATCCTTTTTCTTTCTACTGCTTTTTCACACCAATTATGAAGTTCCCTAAGAGGGGAAAACATCAGCTTTAGCTGTATAGGTATAAAATGTAAAGAAAAATTTTCAGATGTTCTTCTATTTTGTTCAATATTATAAAAGTTTTACAAGTGACCAATCTTTTTAAAACTCAGTTCACATAAGAGAGTGTTTCATCCAAAATGAAGTTAACATGTTTGCCAAAGGAAATTAGTCAACTGAATCCCCAAATAAAGGATTCTATCAGAGTATATTTAACAATGTATTAATTACTCTGTATGCATCGACTTCAGAGCCTTAAATAATGTCCTTTAAGCTAGGGCTATATTCCATGGCTTTAAGGAGGCCTTATAGCACCAAGGCATAAATAATCTTTCATCTCAAGCGGATTTTTTTTAACTTAATATTTTGCTACAGCTCAACATCTAATGCTTTAAAGTCAGTCAGAAGAAATAACAAATGTTGAATTAAAATTTAAATGCAGACAAAACAGCAACAATACCTTGTGGTTTGTAATTAAAACCTGTATTAGCTAATATCCATGTTAATTAATCCATTATTTAAAAGCTACATCTTTTCCTCTCAGGTTGCATGTACAATAGTAAAAAAAAAAAAAAAAAAAAAAAAAACCTTTGCCTAAGTGTACCTTGAATTCTAGATTTGAGAAAGAAGGCAGAGGAAGCTCATCAGCTAAGCTGCCAGATTCTTTTTTCCTGAGCCGGAAAAATTACACTTATTTTTATATGAGATGCATCAGAGGAGCCATACATAGAAACCACTTTTTCCAACATGGTCTTCATCAAACTTTGAAGATAAGTACTCCCGCTAAAAGTACTGGTTTGTATTATCTTAAAGCAAGTAATTATAAACCCTCAGTGAATCCATGAAAGGCAGGTGAATGGAAAACAAATGACAAAGAATTATTATACTGTACTCAAGCAAGAATAATGTTACTGATTTCGGTGTAGTTACTTTAGAACCTGTTAATAGCTCAGCAGCTTAAAAAACAATTATTTAAAGCAGTACCTTGCTGGTAGGTACTGGTACATGGTGGAATAGCTAGTTTTAAGAATCTGTAAGCAATGCAGTTATTACCACCTCTACTTTCCCTCGGTAGATCTAAACCATCCATATCCTTTTATATTATAAATATGAATCAAAACGAGTTTCTCACCTCATCTCAGGATGCTACCTACATAAGGTCTCAAACTTCAACTGAAAACAAACCAGTTTCCCAAAGTTGCTGAAATTCCTCCCAAGAACTAGAAATTTTAAAGACAGAAATGAGGACAATTCCTCTTGCATGTCTAAACGGGCAGTAATGACAGCTGTGATAAAAATCAGAAAGGCATCATCTTAATATTTGCCATTTAAAAAAAAATCACAAAATTTTAAATCAAAGGTGGCGCTCTGTCCTCAACTCACCCGAATGTGACTCACTTTTGCAGACTATATGGTAGGAAATAACAGTTACTTTTCAAAGATCTTTGCAGTTACACCCAAGCCAAAATCAGGACAGAGATCCACCCTTAATTACAGCAATTTAACTGTCTTATCCAAGGCAAGGTAGAAACTAAAACAGCCCCCTGGAAACATGGTTTAAAAGGCTCATTTGATAAACTAGCATTCAAAAGCTCCAGATAAGAAAAAAATATTTCTATTTACTTCAAATTTGAACTCACCAGGAGGCAAAAGCAAAAAGGGGGGAGGAAGGAGCCCAAATGAAACCCTCAAATACAAAAAGCAGGTTCTCCTTGCAATCCCTCTTTAATTCCCCCAATCGGTCCCTGCCGTACACAAGGACAGGGAGCCTCCCTTGGGAAGGCTAGTAGCAGGGCAAGTGAAGGCTCTCCCATTCACTCACACAGGTCACCATCCAAAGCGATGCCCAACAAGCGCTTCACACAAACCAGGCCCTTACAAGTAAGTACTTCTTATTATAAAATACACCCACGCTGAGCAAGAACCTTAAAGACTGTCCTCAGGTGGTGGAGGTTAAATACAACAAAGCCTTCCATGTTGAAAGGCAGACAGTCAGTCCAGATATGCATATACTTACGCACGTATGAAAAACAAAATCTATATTACTAATTTATCAGAAACAGCAATCTATACCAACAAGAGCCATTAGATTATTAATAAACCCAGAAAAGCAGCATGCATAGCTGCCAAAGGTGGCTGGCCTCAGTGCTCTAAACCCTGGAAAGGGTTAAAAAAAAAAAAATCCAGCCTGCCGCGGAGGGTCCGGCCCTCGGAGGTTCTGCAGACCCCTCTGCCCACCCAAACCGGCCCCAGCTCTCCTTTGATCACCTACCACCCATGGTAACAGCGAAAGCACTCCCAAAGCTACGAGTTCTCCAGAAAACTGGTGAATACGATGCGCACAGAGCCCAGCCTGGCCTGGGACTGAGACACAGACCCCGGGGTCGCTAACTAGGCTAGGACACGAGATTCTCCCACAGGATGGAATGAAGGGAAGAACCCCCTCCCCGCCCCACTCTCGCCCCTGGAATGCCATCCTCCTCCTCCTCCTCCTCCCTGACCCATCCCGGGGAGGGGAGGGCAGGACGGCGCAGATATTTCTTTTTCTTTTAAACTAAGTGCATAAACATGAATCGGAAGCCACCGCGAACATAGGGGGCCAGACGGAAGACCAGCGGAGAAGGCGAGGTGGCAGGCGGCTCTCCAACTCCCGGGGAGTCACCGTCCTGACACGCATCCATCCATCCACCCCCGCCGGGGGCCAACGAGGAGCTCACACTCTGCGCCCGCAGCTCCTGTCGGGGGCCCAAGCCAGGGATTAAAGGGGTGAACCCTCCACCGGGAGGGAGTGTCGGGCACCGCTGCCCTCAAGGTCACCACACGCCGGGGCGGGGGCGGCCGGTGGCGGGATGGGCTGTGGCGGCTTCCCGGGAAGTGGAGAGCCTCGGGTGTAGACGAGAAGCCACTAGGAGTCCCGTCCCTCGGGCCGGGTTGGCCACTTCAGGCTGGACCCGGCGCTGAGGCTCCGCGGGGAAGCGCCTCACCTTGCCGATCTCCCACACCACCCAAGCTGGGAGCGAGGCCCCGCGCCGCCGGCCAAATTCGCTCGGACCCAGCCACCCACCCGCGGCCGCGACCCCTGGCGCGCCTCCCCCGCAGGTGGCCGCCCCCGCCGCCCCTCACCTCGCCCGCGGCGGGAACCATTTTCCGAGGGGAGGAAAGCGAGGCTAGCAGGAGGGTCGGGGTGTCAGCCACCGGCTGCGGGAAGCGCCCACTTGGGGCTAGGTCCTGCGCGCCCGCAGACGGCTCGCCGGGAGACCGGGGCGCCACGCGGAACTGCGGCTGCACCTCGGGGAGGAGGCGCCGCGGAGCCCGAGACTCGGCGTCCAGCAGCCGGGGCTCCCTACTCACGCTGCACCGCGAGGAGGCGGCGGCGGAGGAGGCGGCGCCCAGCCGGCCCCCGCCCCGAGCCCGGCAGCCGCCAAGTGGCCGCTCGCGTCCCCGCAGGACCCGCCTCCTCCGCTCCGCAAAGCCGCACACAGGGCGCGCCGCGCTCCGCACGAGCAGCTCCGCCGGCCTCACGCGCCGTCCGCAGCGGCAGCGGGGTGCAGCTCCCGGCCCGGAGCACCGCAGCCCGGCCAACTCGGGGCGTAGTCCAGGAACACCGCAAAGCGGACACCCGACCACGAGGGGCTGCGGCCAGCTCCAGGCAGGGGCCCGTGGGCACCGGGTGACCCGCGGGAGCGCCGCGGCGGGCAGGGGGAGGACGACGCTCACCGGTTCCGGTCTGGCACTCCCTTCTCCTTCACACCTCCACGCCTCCCGCTCCACGCTGGCGGCACAGCTGCTCCCGCTGCCTCAGCCACCGCCGCCGATGCTCGCGCGGCCGCCGCTGCCGCCTTGGCTGGGCGCGGTCACGTGACGCGGCCCGCGGGGAGCCTGAAGGCGGGCGGGTGCGCGCGCGCGAGCGGAGGAAGCCGGCTCAGAAGGGGACTGGCGCTCCTCAGCGAGGGCGTTTAAGGGGAGGACCCTGTGAGCGCGCCCCCGGCGACGAGCGCGTGCCCGGGGATTAGAATTTGCAGCGCGCGGTAGGGAAAGGGTGGCCGGAGTGCTGGCCGGGCGACTCGCGCCTCCGCGCGCCCCTCCCTCGCTTCCTTCCCTGCGCTCCCTGCTCACCGCTCCCCCGGCCCCGCCCGCTCTCTCCTTCCCTCCTGCGGCTGCCTGCGATTGGTCGCCGGCCTCTGACGTCTGTGTTTCCATGACGTGTCGGGCCGGGGACGGGAGCAGGAGGGGGCGGCGGGGGAGGAGGGGGCGGTGACTCCGTCAGTCACAGCTGCTGCTCCGGCGCTGGCCGGGCGGCTCCCGCGACATGTGGAGGCTGGAGAGCGCCGAGTGCCGCAGGAGTGCGGTCTCCTCTCACCTGCGGCCCGGCTCGGCGGTCCGCGGTTGCGGCTGCGGCTGTCGGCGACCCGGAACCCGGGACCACATACGGACGAGCCCGGGTCGAGGCGTAGCCGGGTCCCCGCACGCGAGAGCCGCTCCTGGCCGCGGCTTGGCGTCCACTCCACGGCGGACGGTCCGGACAGTGACGCACTTGGGGGACCCCCGGAGTGACTCCTCTGAGAAGGGAGCACGCGGCCCTGCGTGTTCCGATCCCGCCGCGAGCGCCGACCCCCGGCATCCCCCAGCGCCCTGCGTTCCCCGGGCCGGTGCAAACAGGCCTCACAGGAGCCGCGCTCAAAGTCCTTGGGTTTCTCTTTTAGGTTTGCTTTTTTATTCCCCCTACCTATGTGGAGCTGGTGACTCTTGAATTCATGGTATCTCAACCCTCCACTCTTTCTTCCCGAGTGGGGAAAAGAAAGGGCGGGGGGGAATGCAGAGTAATGTGCCGTATTTCGGTGGTAAAAGGTAACGGGATTTGGGGCCAACCTTTTGAAAATACTGCAACTTAAAAAAAAAAAAATCACCCATCATGGCACTTACCTTAAAAACGGGTTTTCCTTCCTGTGCCCACATACTTAAACGTGTACGCTGCCCCATTTTTGTCTAATCGCCCCTGTTCAACTAAGCGTCCCCAGTCGCTCAGACCATGCCAGTATTATTTTCAGTATCACTTAACAAAAAAAACAAGGATAAGTAGTGCAATCTCCTTTTCGCTTAATTCCAAAAATTAATCGTTGCATAGTCTTCTCAAAAGCATACAGGTAATGGAAGGACTGCTTTATGTATGTTAGTATCTGATAACATTTTAAAATATTTTAAAGACTTAGCAACAATATGTCCCAGAAATTTAAAAGCAAAATTTTCCATGATAATTCTGTTGAAAATACATCTTTCAGTTTATGTATTTCACCAGGTTAGACATTACCCAGTCCTCTGAGCTGTGCCCTTGACATGTTCAACTAGCTAACACTGAGCATTTTTTTTTCTCTGTTCACTGTTAGAGAATTGATTGATGTGGTACAATAAATAGCCGGTCTTGATACCATTTCAAATCAGCTTAATAGAAAAATTAACTAAATTTCACTTAAGTAATTTCCAGTATTCTCTCTCCCTGAAATATCTTTCAGAATTGCTCAGACACGTTTGAGAACCCTTGGCTGTTCTCCAACTTTTCCTCCAAGGAAGTCCCCATGGAAAATTGAATTATGCATTTGACTTTAATCAGAATTTGACATTAAAGTAATATGTGAATCACTGTATAGCACACTAGCAAAATTGATAATAGATTAAATTAGAATCTGTTCACTTTGTGGATTCATTGGAGTTCTAAATTACAAAATACATGTTCTTAAAGAATTATGTTCATGAAAAAATCACTGAGCCTCCTTATAAAACATTATTGCAGTGAGGTTTTTATGGGTGTATATATGTACCCATAAGTGAAAACATGTACATATATGTCCCAGAACATTTATTTGTCCTCATTTTAGTGAATGTGAGTCACATGCACAATAAACTTTTACTCTCATAGTCAAGATAATTGTACTGTATTGTTTATATTTCCATGCTTCAGATACAAAATTAAAGCTGAAAGCAATAGAGAAATAACTGCACATTAAGAAGTTCAGTTTTTTTCTCCTACAGGCTTCCTCCAAAAATCTCCCACATGACATACTTTTCAGTATAAAAATATTGAATTGCTTAATTAGATTTGTTTTTTTTTTTTTCTTTTTCTTTTTGGTGCAGGAGATGGAACCCAGGGCCTAATGGATGACAAGCAAGTAAGTGCTCTACCACTGAGCCCTTAGGCAGTATTTCTTTTAAAGAAACTGAACTGTCTGAATTCAGCAATGGTGTTGCATAGGACATAACTATGTCTTCTCCTTCTTAGACCTCCTTTGTCCCATGGATTTATTTGATCTGTAGATAACATCAGTATATAAGAAGAACAGCATAATACAATTCACTGTCAAAAATCATGCAGTTTTTAGAAATAGGCTTTTTAGTTACAAAATTTATAATGGTAAGCAATACAGGGTGCTATTTCTGGATGCTAACATTGAGGAGGCTGCATAGTCAAAATAATACATTTGACAAATTTTAAAAGTATACTTTTAATGAAGTAATTTTATCGACATTTTTACTGGTAGCTTGATTAGTTTAAGGTGTGTCATTCAGGGAGTCAGTATTCTAAATTCCTCTATGTAACTCAAAGTAAAAAGAAATATTAGGCTCTTTATTCTCTTAAGAATCCTAGCCCAGGTGGTGTCACACTTTTGTAATCCCAGCACTCAGGAGGCAAAGGCAAAAGGAAAGAGAATTCCAGACCAGCCTGGACTACAGAATGAGTTCCAGGCAACCTGAGAATATATAGCAAGATCCTATCTCAAATAAACAAACAAAAAACAAAACCATCCACATTTAGCAAAAGGGCAAAATAAAGATGCATCGACAATAGTGTATTTTGAAAACCACATCCATTCCCTAAATGGATATTTATGCGTACGTGAATGTCAGTCCTGATCATTACAGAATACCGAGGAGTGACAAGTGTGGGAAGGGAGAGGGGGTGGAGGAATATTAAATGCTTCATAAAACATAGTTGTGTACTCTAATTTCCATTAACCTGGAGAGAGAAACATTACTTAGCTGAAAAACTACAGAGAACTGTTATCTATTAGCAACAAATTAATTAAATTTGCTGAATTAAATGGAGTATAATTACAAGTAAGCCTAAAATAAGAATCTTCAAGTTATATAATGGAAAGTTTTTATACATGAAAAATGCAAAATAGATGACATTTGATGAGAATTATTTAGTGTCCAAGTATCTTGTACCCTTCTAGGTTAGAACATTTTTCCCACCCCAAATATTTTAAGTTCTAAGCATATGGTATTAGCCCTAAATCTAAATTCTAGCTAATGAAAAAGAGATTATACCTAAACGTTGAAGATTTCCTATGGAAGGTTCAGACCTGTATTGTACAACAGAAGACATACATACAGAGTTGAAATTAACGGGAAGGAAGATATTAGGAAAGGTTCTTGGAAATTCATTTTACCATAATCATTTTCCTTGTCTTTCATTTTACACATATATGCTTACTATCTTTGAGAACCCTCACCTCCCCTTACTTGGAACTCAATATTTTCCATATTCACATTACACATGATGAATTGTGCTATGTCATAGGGGTATTATGAGGTTTAGGTTTTGTGTTATATATAGTTCTTTTTTTTTTTTTTAAGGAAAGTATTCACTATGTAACCCAGGCTGTCCTAGAACTTCTAAGTAGCCCCAGATTCATAGTTTTCCTTCTTCCACCTTTGAAGTTTTAGGAATTTTGGCTGTGCACCACTAAGCACATATTTGATGTGTGTGTGTGTGTGTGTGTATATATATATATGTGTGTGTATATGTATATATACACATATATAATGCTCAATAAATGTCATTACTTAGAAATATTCATTTTTTTCATTTTTTATTACCAAACAAATTTACTACAAAAAAGAATATACATTTTTATTTGTTTGGGCAAATAGATTATTACCATAGGATAGAATTATTTGTCTTGTGAAACAGACACTATTTTAATCCTCTTTTAAGCACATCACATTTACTCACTAGTCACTGCTTAATTTTGCTGATATAGTCTAAACCTTCTTCAGCAAATAGTATCTTCAGTTTATTGAATCAGACTGCTTTGAGCTACAAGTAACCAAAAAGTAGACTAATAGTGTGTCATGATTGACTTCAGTTGTCAACATGACACATTTAGGAAGCAGGAACACCAATTGGGTAATTTCCTCTATTGGGTTGACCTGTGACCATGTCTGCGAGGCATTTTCTTGATTGTTGAGTGATGTGGGAGGATCCAGCCCACTGTGGGTGGTGGCATCCCTGCGTACAGGTGGTCCTGAGTTGTATGAGAGCAGAATGAGCACAGGCCAGAGGAACAAGCCAGTAAGCAGTGTTCCTCCATGGTCTGTGCTTCGGTTCCTGCCTTCAGGTTCCTGCCCCGAATTCTGCCTGACTTCCCTCTAAAATGGACTATCACCTGGAAGTGTAAGATGGAATAAATTCTTTCTTCCCCTATTTGTTTTGGTCAGTGTTTTATTACAGCAATAAAAGGGCTAACTAGAACATAGTGGCTTTCATGAATAGGGGTTATGCTAACACTTCATTGTTATGACACAATACATTGGAGAAATCAATAGGAGGAAGATTTATTTTGCCACCTGGTTTCAGAGGCTTCAGTCCATGGTCTGATGTCTCCATTGCTTTTAGGCTGTGAGATGGCAGAGCGTCTTAGTGGGAAGCCTCTGGTAGAGCAAAGCTGCTTGCTTTCTGGTATCTGGAGAGAGGTGGAGAGGTATAGAGGGAAGGAAAGGGCGAAGAGAAAGTGGGGAGGGAGACCAGGAACCAAGATCTAACTTTCAGGGACATGCTGCAC